TTAGCTGGATCAAAATCTGAGCCCAAGGCCCAACTCTTCCCTCCTCCCCTCCTGAAGGCATTGGCTGGTGTGTTTTTTGGGGGTCAGCCGATTTCCCATCACATTTACTTTGTGTGATATACTTTCCCTCAGGGCAGCCAAGCTTCCTCCTCCTCAATCTATGCCCCAGGAAGTATTGCCAGCTAGTTACCTACCGCACATACACTCAGTTGCCCTCCTCTGCCTCTTAATATCTCACATTAAGGATATACAATGCAGGCAGTAGGCCAAGCCATCCAGTGCTGGATGGGAGGGAATCTTTCTCTTTTACCCAATTAACATGCAACATGTACGGGAACTGACACAGACAAAGCATACAGTGCCAGACAGGAGTGAAAAGTCAGCATTACTGAGAAAGTGTTGAAATGTTTCTTCATGCGAGTCTAAAATGCCTCAGATAATGAGTAGTGGGCCCTAGACTAACACTGATTTGCAATACTATGTATGGCTTGGCTCTCGTTTGTCTTAACTTGGCCACTGCAACAGCCTTGGATGAGCTGATTACCTTCAGGCAAAAATCTGAAGGAAATGCTGAAAACATTTGCTCTCGTGACCGGCGTGAGTTACAGTGTTAACTGTGGGCAAGTGACCCACCAGAGTGAGGAGCGGACCCCAGAGTGAGGCCTAGTATAATCCAGAGTGATTTATATACCGGCCAGCATTTGAAACACTATCGTAAAGCACATTTGAACAGGACAGCCAAAGTCTTCCAAAAAAATGCTAATTATTCAATGTTTCTTCCAGCAGTGTACACTGTGTGCTGAAATCAGGAAACCCTGCCAAACCTCAGCTCAGGCTTACTGAGACAGTCAGGCCTCAAAGGGTCCCCAGTATTGTTGAGGGTGAAACTGCAACGGATTAAGGGACAGGCTCAAATGGAGACAGACTGACAACATGGGGTTGTTTTTTAGCATGACCATTCTCTCCTCCCCCCTCCTCGCCACCTCTCTGTAAAGCCTATTTCTGTACAAGACTCTAGCACTGCTATCCACATCCATGGAGTCTCTCCTGGCACCTCTCCCGCTCACAGATACAATACAAGAAGAGGTTGGTATCCACGAGGTGCTCATTCTTTCACATCCAGCATCCAAGTTCTCTCTCTCTTTCTCTCTCTCTCTCTCTGGCACAACCTTTCTTCTCTTTATTTTATTGTACAATCGCGTTCATTCTTCCTCTGAATTTTCTTCTCTAGTTCCTCCCAAGCTCTTAATGCCCCATCCCATCTCCCTCCTCCTTACATCCTCACTTTGCTAAACTCAACTCATCACACTCTCTCCTCAATCACAATCTTTCTCAGGTCCTCAAAACATTGGGAGTTTTATCTCTCAGTCTTCCCTTCCTCCTACGCTCTAAAGGTTTTCAGCGCCTAAGTTCGAGGTCATCTAACTGTACATCTCAATTTCATCCAGTTGTCTCTCCTACTCTTTTCAAGCATGGATTGTGCCTACCACACAAATTGCTTTAGTTGGGAGTCTGTTCCACAAATCCACACTCAAAACCTCTATAGCTATAAATGGGAAAGGAAGGAAAATTTAAGAGCAATGACCAAAGGCATGGTTTTAAGGCAGAATGAAAAATAGCAAGGCAAAGGAGGTTAAATATGAGCATCAAGAGAGTAGCCACAAAACTCCACTGAAAAATCTTATTAAATGCCTCAAATCTGGACTTCCACTGCACACTGTCAACCAACAACTTTAGTAGTTTCCAAATAACTGTAATACATTGAGTTTGGCAAGTGTTTTTTTTTCATAAACCAGTGTTTACTGGAAATTGTTGCATTTACTCTCATTACAATTGCTTGTTTTGTACAAAAGGCTCTTCCTCTCCAAAAAAACTTTTTGAAACAAATAGTCACTCAGGAGATAAAGGAAATTAATGGTAACTTTGAGGTTTTTGAAATCTGACCTTGTTCCGCTCCAGACATCATGACACAAGTCAATGAACGAATTGTACAAAGGAAATTAACAGGGTCACCATGAGCTTGATACCAGCCTTCCAGAAGCCAAAAGCCTCCAGTCCAGGCAAGCCAAGGTACTCACGGCCTCAGACTTCAGGTTCTTTGTATTTTCTCATAAGTCCACTTCTTATTAACTCACTCCTGCGCAGAATGCATTCATACATTGAAGGGTCGTTTAATCCTTTTCCTTATTATTTTCTCTTTTTCCTCCAGCTGTTTGAGCTCCTGTGGGGCTCCATTCCTCCATTGATTGGAGTGTTGAACAGCCATATCTGTTGTCCAGTGCCACAGTTCATACGTGTCAATAACAGTTCCATATTGTACAACGCCACAGATTTACATGTTAGCAATGCTATGGCATATGTACACGTTCGTCCTACCTTAAACCCGTTATAACTGCAAGTTGCAATGGTAGAAGAGGAAAGGGACACAAAACCTGATGAGACTAGAGCTACAGCTTGGCACAGATGACGGTGTGTCCACTCCTCAGTGCTATGTTTGTTGGCACATGACATGCCCACTACTTCTCACGGAACATTTGTTGCTGATGCAGCACGCCAACACTTTAATAACCAACAACCTGTAGCCTCTGGGATCGTGGCCAGCATCTGGAAACATCATCTGTCTAACAACCCCCGGCCAGGCGATTGTGTACACCTCAGGCAAAAGGAAATGACACTTGTGAATAAGAAATGATTCTCCTCTCTCTTCCCCTCCCTCTTCCCCGCTATCTCCATACCTCCATGTTTTAACTCAATCTCTCCATCCAATACCTCTCGTTTGTGTAGATCTCAATCTCTCTCTCTCTCTCTCAAAGGCTCAATGTACAGTCACACTCTTAAGCTTAAAAAAATAATTTGGTGAACCAACAAGGAACTCAATCTCGGAGCACAAGTTATCAGCAACCATTACCAATTTTCAGATTTGCCCATTGGGTTCCTCCCTGCCCATTATTCATCTGTGAATCCGAATGGTGAATGTCAAAACGATGTGATCACAGCTGAGCTCGATACTGTCCTTGAGGAACGTAGCAGCAGGAATTCTGATCACTTCCCCCCTCTCTAACCCAGGGGACTGGGGCCAATTGGAGCACACACAATTGTGATAGCTAACTTCGGGATTCACTTGGAAATATAATTCTGCCACCATGTGGTCTGTGTGGCCCAGTGCTGCACCATTTCGTAAGGAGCTCTTCTCAGTTCTTGGCTTCCGTGGACAGAATATTCCCCCAAAGACCCCTGAACCAGGCTCTTCTCAAACTTCACAGAGTTTGACGTCAACTTTCAGCATTGTGCGATGTAAATAAAGCACCCGGCAATGAGGCAGCGTGAGCTTAACAGGCCGTTGCATCAACCCAAAAACCTCCTCCCTGCCCACACCGCACCCCCCACATCTTGACGATAATCTTTATTAAAAACCTAAACTGAGTCGCTTCAATTTTTCCATGCAGCTTAACTTGAAGCAATCTCTGTTCCTTGTTATCACCTTCGCTATATCAGCTGCAGTGAACGAGAGCGGAACGCTGTGTGCTGGTTAGCAGTAAGCCGAGTGTTTCAGCAGTATGGTCTCATTGAAAATAGATTATTTCCCCAAGTGCTTCACATCAATCTCAATTTCCTGCATGCCTGTGCTGGACGCTGGTGCGCAGTGACTGAGCTCGATCGGAGCCAACACAAACAGGAAGCAGCGCGTCTCCCGAGATTCAGCCAGGCGTTCCACAGCGCCAGCTCCCGACGAGACCCCCGCTTCTCGCTTCTCCAGAGCAGCAACACCCCTGCTTCTTGTGTCCACCTTTCCTCCCCTCCTCCCGTCTCCCACCCCCACACCACAGGGGCGAGCAAAAAGACCAACATGTGCGGTCGGGCAATTAGGCTGCTGTGTTACAGTCAACCAAAGAGCCGCTTCCACAAACTGCAATAAAATTCAGACGGGTAAAATTTATGCAGGACTCCCGATAGTATTTTTATAGAACACATGGCAATGTGTTTGGCTTGGTGTCGCAAGGTAATTTCTCATTTATTTTTGCTGTGTTGTGCAATTTAAGGCACCGAGCTGCACGATTTCTGGGCTCCACTCCCTCCCGTCCCCTCCACTCCTCCCCTGCACTCCCCACCCTGCAACGAGCAAGTCCTCAGACCGGTATGAAACTCAGCCACGCAACCCAGCTCAAGACCATCCCAGCCTCGGTCCCTGGTCCTCATCACAGAACGGATCGAGTTCTGTAGCTTCAAAGAGTTCTGTAGCTTCAAAGGTCCTTTCTGGAGTCCTGTAGCTTAATGATTAGAGCACTCGCCTCGCAAGCGAGAGGGCCTGCATTCGATTCCCGGGCAGGGCGAAAAGTTGGGGAAGTTTCCTTACACCACATGGCTCGGTTTACCTAGCGGTAAATAGGTTGTTAGCCTATTCCTTTTCGGGGGTAATAATATTTTTCTTTTAAAAAAATAATGTGGTCACTCAATCCACGACTGTTTGTGGGACACTGCTGTACAACAACTTGCACACTTATATAGCATCCTCCACGCAGGATAGGGTCTCAATACACAATTGGCTGCCGCATTTTGCCCACAAAATATACAGTCAATTCACTTCACAGTATATTCTGTGAAGCGCTTTGAGACATCTCAAAGACGTGATAAGGTGCTATATCAAATGCAAGTATTATTATTACTATATTACTCTTACTATTACTTATGATCCTCACACTCGTCTACAAATCCCTTCATGCCCTGGCACTTTCCTACCTCTCTAACCTACTAACTCCCCACTCCAGCCTCCTCCTCTTGGCTGTCTCCAGCTTCCTGCTTGTCCCTCGTTCCCTCCATTATGGACAGCCATGCTTCCCCCCTCCCCCAGGACCCTGATGATCTTAACCCCCCCTTTCACTTTCTCACTTCGATAAAAATAAGATTCTGACTTGACACTTGCTGGTACAACATGAGAAGCCCATTTCAGCACACACCGTCGCTCCCATCCACAGACAGCCGTAATCAACCTTTAAACTCACCGTGAAAACGCTGACTAATTCTCCATCACTTCCAATTACTCTCTCCTCATCCTCAGCCATGTCCGACATCCCAATCTGACCGGGTTTCCCAGCCTTTTAGATCAATCGAGAACAACCACTGCAAATCAGAAGGACAAGGATTCCTCTCTCCGTCCCGTGAAGCATAAACAAATCAGCAGACGTAATTAGATTCTGATGTTGACCTCACATCGAGCCGCCATCTGTACCTATAATGACGTGTGGCTCCCAGCACTGTTCTCCTCGATCAAGCCAATTGCCAATTGAAGGAGGATTGGCTTCAACAAATGTGCAGGGCCTTATGACCCTCGGGAATGTCACTCAACTCCCAACACGGAATTCACCTGACAGCCTGTTACTCTACTCTACTTTGGATCTGGAGTTGTTTTGCCAGAGTTAGGCTGACGTGATGCCTGGTCCCGGGATGGTGGGCGGGGTGGGCAGTGGGGTGGAGAGGAGGTGATGGGGAGATGCGAGACACCATGATGGGTGGGGGGGCAGGAAGAAAGATACCAGGAAGATACCCTCAGCACAGGCGAGGGGTGGAAACACTGGCACAGAAGACGCCTACAGCAGAATATCCCCTGTCGGGGGTAAAAAGGTGTAACAATGTGAATCTCCCTCAATAATGTGCTCTGTATCGATGTAGCCATCACACTCTTATCTCCTGTTCTAAACGTCTCTTCCAGACACCACATTTCTTGGCACCCTTCACCTTGCTTTCAAACGTCTTTCACAGACCAATATGTTTGCCTTCAAACATAGTGACACGATTAAGCCCATCGAGCCTGCTCCACCATTTTATAAGATCGTGGCAGCTCTTTATCTTTTTAATCCCATTTCTTGACTTTTCTCCATATTCTGAATACTGTTACTTACCAAGTATGAATCTATCTTATCTGTCTGTTTATTGCCCTTTTAAAACAGTCTGTTGATTCTGCATTCCACAATCCCTTTGTGAAGAAATGATATCACTTTTAACTGGTTGAGTTCAATCTGTAACATTGTGTACTCTTACTCTCAATTCCATTCCTAGAGGGAAGAATCGCTCCACTAGTATTAAGACAATAGGGCCGGGAGGGAGTACATTTAACAGAAACACCCATTCTAGCCTTCCAAATCATCTTTACATCGGTATCCAACACCACAGTTTGAATGCATTAAGTAATAAAGTGGGAGAGAATTAATTAAGGTTAAGCCGTCTGTTTCTATTGATTGTTGCTGTGGATTACGTGAAGGGAACTTCACGTAGAGTCGAGGAAATCCGACGGTGTGTCAACCGCCCTGTAATTAACAAGCCGCACACAGGATGCCAGCTTTAAATCCTGCTGAAGCCCCTTAAAAAAAATAAGCTTAAAGGCGACCAGAGGCCATTAGTCGAGCACTTCACATCAGCCGAAGACAGCGCTCAGGGCAGTCGGTTTGGATCAGGAGCAGAGCCTTTAACTGGTCAGAGTGTTGGCCTTCCTGTCCAATTTGGGGATAATGTGATTTGAATAGTGGATGGTGGACGGTCTCTCAATAATTCGCAAATAACAGTCAGGCAAAGGGAACAAGAAGGATATTGCTCTTTCTTATATTAAGCCACTGATGCACTGGTCTGCAGCAAGGACAAAGTCTAAGATTGATTTTGCCTATTACTGAAGGTGCATTAATAAAGGCAGCCAGGAAGGAGGGAAGGCAGAGAACCGGGCTGATAATTGCCTCATTTATTGCCTGTGGACCAGCTCTGAAGTGTCTTTAAGCTACTGTCAGACAATGCACTCTCCTCCAGCTGAATGCTGGGCTCTTGCCTTTCCAAGACTTTTCCTTCAGTTTTTTTTTGCTCCCAAGGAAATAAAGAGCATTACTGACAAATAAAGAAAAACAAGGCAGAGTCTAAATGAGCACCATTTACAGCGGTTACCATCGGCAACGCACACTGACAGAGGGAGAATGCGTTCTGCTTTTGTGAGTGGCTTGGCAGCTTGGAGCTTTGCCAGTTTCTTTGGTACGCTTGTGAAGCCAATGCAAACAGGTAACAAGTGAAGAAATATATTCTTTATTATTTGTCAGCTCATTAACTTTTTGAAAAATATAAATTGATCACATAAACTGTTTCTCCGACCCTAGGAATAACAAGAAAGCATTACCAAAGCATCTCCCGAGTCCCCCACATGTGGATGGTTTCTATATTTTGGTCACTAGTCAATTTGCCCACCCAGTCTGGTTTACCTGTAAATCTAGACGGCTGCCTGACCTCACATTAAACCATCATCGTGGGGGTGTTGCAATTACCATCAGGACATCACTGTAGGAGGGAGAGCAACCCAGGCCTCTTGCTTCTCATCACTACCCAGAGACTATCCAGACAACAAAACAACAAAATAAAATTTGTAAAGCGTCTTTCACGTCGGGAGGACATCCCAAGATGCTGGTGAGTACTGTCATCCCAGCAGGAATGTGCTGATGCCCTTGACATTCAGCTGGTGACCTGCCAGTATCACCCACTCAGCTACACATGGGGTTTGTGATCAGCGAGCTCGGGTGATGCCAATCCCACTCCGTACTGAGTTACAGAATGTTACAGCAAGAAAGCAGGTAATGTTTTCTTCACACAAGCGATTCTAACTCACCCTCCTGCTCTCCAGTTCTCCTCTTCAAGCATCTATCTATCCAATTCCCTTTTAAAAAGACTCTGACTCCGCTTCAACAACAGTTGGCGGCAGGGAATTCCACATTCCAACCACAAAAAATGACGTAGAATGTTGTAGCAATGAAACAAGCCATTTGGCCCAACTAGTCCATGCCGGTCTTCTCACGAGCCTCCACCCTTCCTAATCCCCTCTATTCCCTTCTCCCTCATGTCGTATCCAGTTTCCTCTTAAATAAGTTGATGCTTTCTGCTTCAACCACAGGCGTCCGGCAGCAAGTTCCACATTCTCACCAACCCTTGTGTAAGGTTTTTTTTAACCTTCTCTTTAATTCTCTTTGTGATTTTTGCTTGCTTAGTATATAAAACGGCAGCTGACCATCAGCCTAACAGGGCTGATATTCACTAACGAGAACGATTTGGAGCTTGGGGCGGAAGGGGGTGGGGGAAGGAATGAAGAGAGGTAAGTAAGCAAGATCTCTCTGGGGTTTAACCAACATCAAAAATGCTTCAGACACCAGGCAAGTCACCAGGAAACCATCCGACTCAGCTTCCGATAACCCCTCCTTACCTTCAGCTCAGATTACCTCAGCCTTCCTGGCTCCTCCCGACATGAAAGGCCATATACAAATGTAATTTTGTATTGTATTTGGTCTCTGCTTTTCTTTAACTTTGTCACGTCATCCGCCTATATCCTTCCCTAATTCCCAAAGTGGCCCAAAATCTTTGCTACACTTTCATCACCTCTAGACTGAGCTTCTTTCTCCATTGCCCCCCTGCCTGTCTTCCCAGTTCTACTATCCTCAAGATCCAGCAAATCCAAAATTTAACCATATGCATCCAGGTTCACCTGCCCTCACCAGGCTCACTGTATCCATGGCTCTCCTGCTCACCCCCTCCACTTGGTTAATTCAGATCTGTTGCATGCATATCCCCCGCCTTCTGTGTCTCACCATTGGAGGCTGAGTCTTCAGCCAATAGAGTACATTTACCTTCCGGAATTTCTTACCAAAATCCCTTCCCCTCCCCACTATTTTCAATGAAAGCCACCTGAAAACCTGCCTCTTTGATTGTGTCGACAGTCATCTCACTCCAGTGAAGAGTGGTCGCAGGTTGCTAGGAGAGCAGCAAGCGACTGAAGGCAGGACCTGCAGAGTGCGATATCCTGTTCAATATAAATGAATAGGCGATAAGTACATAGCTCTGACACACGGCCACAAATTACATGCAGCGATATACCCAGGAACGAAAGCATTTGATGAATTACTGTGGCTGTGACTGCCCTTAAAGAGCAGCTCAACTGAATGGAGCAGAAGCCTAATGGAGGTATTGTCGTCTGTGCAAGAGGCAGTAATGCTGATCCTGTGTGTGCATTAGTTACATTTAGAGATTAACAAGCACAAAGCGAGTATTGAGTTCAAGATGAGGGACTCTGCGCTGATGGGAATTAATAAAACATCCAGTAAATGGCACTCATGATAACAGTTAATTGGTGTGCGAGGCAGAACTCGCCACTCGAGCTAAAAGAAAGCATCTAATAACCGAGTATAGAAATAAATCTTCTCCCCCGACACCCTAACTTGTTAATCTATTTATTCTTTGTTTCTTTGACCCAACTGGAACACTGATACACCCCACATTCCTCACTGTAACAATGAGACTCCTCACACACACGGACAGGCAGGGGATCGAAGGTTAGCAATCAGGATTGGGAAGACTGGCTGATTTTCCCTGCTCCCTGGCTTGGGGAGAGTGAAGTTTGGCAACACCACTATCACTGATCCCAGCTGACTCAGGTTAGGCCAGGTACAGAACTAAGGACCTTCTTAGTCTGTATGCCGCATGCATCACAATGCGTAAAAAAGGCACTAAATATTTTAGAAGCAGTACATCAGGGAGATGTTTGTCATGGGTTTTTCCCCTCCCCACAGAAGCGATTGATGGTGAGTCTTGCCTGTAAAGCATCACAACAGCGAAGCAGCCATTTTGCATTTGCTGGGTTTCCTGAGAACCGCACAAGTTTAATGCAAGTCCTGCATAGAGTACGAGATGTTCTGTGAGCGACTGAACAGTGTTTGTGATGGCTGCAGTACAGCTCTATGTTGGAAGTGGAAAGGAAGAACTAATTAAAGCAAGAGGCAAAAGTCCAGTGCTTTAATTACGGACTGACCTCATTCATTTAGTACAGCTATTGTACACTTGGCATTAACCCGTGTGCTGTTAGAATTGTTAACTTAAACTGTGAAGAATGCAAGCCGTTTAATGGGAACTTATTTCCCGCTTCCCCTCCCCCTTCCCCCCCCGGAGCCACTCTCCACACAAATGCACCCTCTGTGGGCTCCCGCAGCGCACAATGGACAAAGCTGTCCCATGCGTCTTTGCATGGCCTTAAAAGTTACATTGCCTTAGAGGGTCACTGAGCGTAGGTTCAAAACTCTTAAGGAGGGAGGGCTGCTAATGTAGCAATCTCAGCCCAAGGAAGGCTCCGAAGAGTCTTACTCAAGGTTCAGCAAACCCAGAGATCAATCTACGATGAGTCTGCAATTCCCGTCTTTGCATCTCTTTGGCACTAAAG